ATTAGGGGCTCGTATCTGCATAGACTGTTTGGAAAAGATTAGGAGCTCTCAAATGTATTGAAGCCAACTCTTAATGCGCAAACTAAAAGAGAATTCGCATCGGTCCGAGAGACAGGACTGAAGTTTCTGTTTGAGTGGGCTTTCGAGGAGCAGGGGACACAGGGCGAGCATCAGAACGTAGATCTGGAATCAGATTCCACCGAGCGCACGTACCTCCCTAAGCGTCATGTATTGCTTCTTTTACTACTTCTCACGAGTCAACGCCCAGTTCCCCCCAATAGTGGAGTTTTCATAAAGCCGAGCATCAGAGCCTTCCCAGACTCCCGCACATCACCCCCGCCCCGACGCCGTACTCGCCCCATGTGTTCCCGAAGGGCTGACACGTTCACCCAACGCCTTCGGATGCGTTTTGCCTTGAAAGAGCTCCGACTGTTAAAAAAAACTCTTCCTAGGATCCCCCCCACTTGCATCTCTGTCTTCCCTCTTCCTTTCTCCTCCCACACCCCAAGTTTTAAGATCTTTTACTTTTCACCATCGCAAAATGTAGAGTTTTCTGGTACCAACGCCTCGACACATCACGCGGGAGCTTAAGGCAGGCCCGTGTGTCAGAGCCGAGAGGAGCCAGGTGAATTACCGGCGCCTTTGTGCCACTGCCTGGCAACCCCGAACCCCCACCCCACCCCGGCCCTTCCCCAACGTGAACTTGGAAACAGAACTCAGGCCAGGATGGGACCTCCCGGTCTCAGGAAGGCCATTTCTCTGTTTAATTCCTGGGAAGCTGCGCTGGCTGGGCCAGCCAACGCAATCCTTTTCCGATTACAGAGAAGACCAAACTGGGCCGGCCGCCTGCAAGCTCTTCCTGGAACCCCAGCCGGCAGCGGCCAACACCTGAGCGCCTTCCGACGGCTGCTCGCTGGGGTGTGAGCTCGTTCTCTCCAGCAGGCCCTCCCGATATCAGCGCGGCTGGCGGTAGTGGGGCACGAAGTGTGGGGGGGAGGGGAGCGTCAAGCCAAACACCGACATGGGCACAGCTACGTTTATGATCCTAAAATGAACTGCGAAGGAGATTGTGTAAGTATAATTTAACCAAGAGAAATTTACTGCGGAATACATTTCTATGACCAGTCTTTAACAGCCTTACGGGTTCTTGGGCAAAGACTTAGGTGGCCGACCGGTTTGGAGTTACCTCAGGTCTGCGGTCACGTTTTCAAATGTGGAAAAGGCCAGTTCTGGTATATAGCTCTTTGACAATAAAATGCATTTTGTATTGATGCGTTCCGGTAAGCTTTCTCTTTTGTTTTCTAGCAGAGATGGAAAAAGAAGGTTCAGGTAAATCTCTCCTTTTCCAACACAACCCCAAACTTCAAGCAGTAAAGGACTATTATGCTCTTCAACCATGATATTCAACATTAAGTTACCGACAAACAGAGTTTCCTTAAAGAATGAGCTAGTTTGAGTTTGTGGGCTTAAACTAACCTCATTAGCTTTGAAAAGTGTCTTGTTCCTTCCCTCCCCTTCTTTCCAAGTATAGCTGTGAACCCGATGGTCCTAGGCCTTCATAAGATTAATTCTGAACAACCGAGAGACTAAAACACTTTTACAATGTAATTACAGTAGTACAAATTGTTTGCCCAAACCTCATTCTGGATAAGGATTTTACAATTAGCAAACAGTTATTACAGTTGGGGCTTGCTGAGAGAAATTGCACAGAGGACCTCTGGAGTTGCAATATAGTAGCCATAAAAAAGAAGGAAAAAAAAACCTCCTTCAGCAGGGCAGCAATTAATCATCTATTAAAAGAAAAAGGTAAAGGGATAGTTCTAGGTATCTTAGAAAACTAGTACTGATATTTATAGCTGTTCTACGGCAGTACCTTTTTCTAGCTTATCTCAGATACTCGCTTTTTAAGGCAAAAGTATTTTTATTTTGCAAAAACTTGGCCTGGTGAAGGGTTCTGGCACTTGCCCCTAGCTCTTTCAACATGGGCCTTCCATACTCAGCTTACCCTTCTCATCCCAGAGCATCTTCCCCAAGATAGAGAATGAGGACTTTAAAGAGGCAGCCTGGGGCCTAGGTCTCTATTGTTTAGACCCTCAGGCAAGGAGGCATTTAAAACAAATAGTGCCCCTTTAGGCTGTTGGTACAGTCCTCCGGGAGAACTTCCCTCTAGTGTTCTGTTTTCCTATAAGGAATCGTGTCTTTGGAAAGACCTATATCCGGAATTAGGCTTTTGTCCCCGAAGTTCACACCGATGAGTCAGCTCCAAAACCCTCAGAAATTAAAAAGGCACCTCTTAAGGTAAAATGTGTGTGTATTTGCCAGCCCAGAATAAACAAAAGCCTGTTAATCAACCGAGTTTGGCAGCTGTGTTCACAGAATGATAAGGGTCTATCATCTGCCACCTATAACTTCAAGATGCCTGTTAAAATGTTGTGATTACTCTTTGTGGGCTGGAGGCTTAGGGTTTGTTCTTCAAGAACATTCATCCT